CAATGTTTGGGGGTATTTTCTATGTTTTGTCGGAAGTCCCCCTCCAAGGGGACCGGCCCGACGTGAGCCCAAGGGCAGGCGGCGAGACCTCCGCGGGGCTCTCGCGGATGGACAGCGCACTGCACGGCGCCGGAGGCCTGGAGCGGCCGCCCCCATCTCGGCCTGCGCAGCGCCCTGGCAGGATGCAGCAGCGCTCTCCTCCTCCTCCTCCTCCTCCTCCTCCTCCTCGTCCTCCTCCTCCTCCTCCTCGTCCTCCTCCTCCTCCTCCTCCTCGTCCTCCTCCTCGTCGTCCTCCTCCTCCTCCGCCTCCCCGAGCCGAAGCAGAGCCCCCGCAGGACGTGTGCTTCCCTGCTCGCTGCGGCGACCCCCCGCTGGGATGGTGCGGGCCTGGGCTTGCCAGCCTGGAACAGATCCCTATTCCTAAGCTGGGCATCGCCTCATCACAATGCCAATCTTCGGGGTTCCCTTAGTTTTTCAGGGCGCATCCCTGAGATTGTCATCGCCTTTTGGCGTGTCAATCTTAGGGATAGGGATAAGTTCGAGGCTGGTGATGGGCACACGAGGGGCTGGATTCGTCATGGACCAACACGGCGAGGCCGCCAAGGCTGTGCATCTTGCTGTTGCTGTGCGGCGAATTTTGCCTCGGGGCCCTCTTCAGGTCCTCTTGGGGCGCGCTTGGGGGCACCTTGAAAGGCTATTGGGCCGTCTGGGACGCCTGTCGCGACGTGACCTGGCAAGGCTGGGCGGGTCTGAATTTGGCGGCGCGCCAGGGGGGATGCAGAGGAGGCGGACCCTCTCAGAAAGCTCGGATGGCCTCCGGCCTTCTGAGAGGCTTCCTACGCCTTCTCCGAGCTTGCAATCGCTCGGACGTCTATTCCCCGTGCATGTTCGGTTTCGTGCGTGCTTGTTTGGCTAAATGATCCAGGATGCTCCTCGATGGCCCTCGCCGAGACAAAATGCACACGTCCGAGCGATGCCAAACGAAGGCAGATCAGAAGGCCAGAGGGCTTCCGAGAAGCCACGCCGCCTTGTGAGAAGGCCTGCCCCGTCTCACTTCCTCCCTCGGCGCGCCGCCAATGCAAGGCGGAGTGGCCCTGGGCGGGCCAGACTTGCGCAAACCTGATGGGTTCCTCGAGCAGCGCTTGCACTGAGATGGCGTTGGCCTCCTAGAGTCTCCTAGAGGACTGGGCACCTGCTGCCTTTTTCCAAGAACTGTGAGCATTTCAGTCGCACAGAGCCGAGCGGCGTTCAAGCGGCTGCGAAGATGTGCAAACTTGGGGAGAAAATTGTATTCGCGTGAAGAGCTTCGACGCCTCAGCCAGATCGCACCTCTCTCAATCGGCTCGTGGCTTGCGCTTGGCATGTCGAAGTATGCCTTTCACCACTTTCCATGCCCAGTATAACTGCATGGCTGTCAAGAAAATGTTGGCAAAGAACCACAAGTATATGTGTACCAATGGCACCCCACTTCGAGCAGCTTCGTTTGCACTTCCTACAAGTGGGGCCATGTCCACCCAATACATCAAGTTGACTTTCATCCACCAAACGACGCGAATGAGGAGAAACGAACAGCAAAAACACAAACTTACTGCAGTATTCAGCGTCGGGTATTTCGCGGCCAATGTTGGGGACATCTTGAACAGGTTCATGAAGCCCAGTGGTATCGAAGAACCTTCAGAAATCCCGATATAGAACATGGCGTAATAATGCAAAAATGCGTACGACAGACAATGAATGCAGAGAAGGATAGTGCAAATGTGATGCAGATACTGGATAATTTCTTGGCCCTTTGGGACAATCCTCCCTTCCCAAATCTGAAGCATTGCTTTCAGTATGAGCTCAATCGACAAATACACGAGTGTGAAGGTAATCAACCAAGTGCAGACAGGCGAGTGGGCACCGTGCAAACGACTGGGGAATGAGGACGCACCATCTGCAGCAAACCAGACTGTTGCGGAAACGTAGACCATAGAAACGTAAATCGGTATCGCCAACACGTGAGTCGCTGCATCAAAAGCTGCAACTTTGAAAGGCGAGGATGAGCTCCGGAACAAACCAATCAATACTGGTAAACCGCAAGAATAATAAACGAGCAAATTGCGCAAACAATGCCCGTGAAAATAAAGGTCCGTCCACGTCATTCCTTTCTGTATGAAATCGCGGAAATTGGTGATACGCAGGTGCTGCTTGAAGGGTCTACCGCCACCGTGCCCAAACTAGTCTACTGAGATACAGGCTGAAGCTGACGCTGCTGCCTCCAGCCTGCATTGAACAGCTAAAACTGAGCCGATATGCTGTGGAGCCGTCCGTGTTGCTTGCTCTCAAGCTGCAGCGGGTGGAATGTGTGCTTGGCTCTCCATTGATGCTCCCATGCTACGCGCTGCCCCTCCCTGCCTCCGTACCTCTTCCCCCCCCGCCCCCAACCCTGCTCCCGCCTCTGCCCCTGCGCGTGCGCCGACCCTCCCGACCCTGCCCGCTGGTGGCCACCCGGCCCCCACCCCGAGGCCTGAGAGCCCCCCCCGGCCCGCCTCCAGGGTGCAGCAGCGAAGAGAGGCAGTCTGGAGGGAAAACGGTACTGAATTCAGGTCGGGCGTGTCCTCCTGCATGCGGATTTTGGACGAAAAAGGGAAATAGTCAAACAAACTCGCAAGTAGCCGACACAGAATCAAAAAATTGTCCCCAGACTTTCTACTAGACTTGCAGACTCCTCCCGTAGAGAGAGGTGCCCGACTGCATTCTGCATTCTGCTCGCTGCCCTCGGCCTCTCGGGACTCCTTCTCCCTGGACCCCGCAGGGGGGCCGTCAGCGAACTGCTCTGGATGGAAAACTCGGTCCCAGGGGAACTCAACGGCTGGCCATCGCTCTGACGTCCATTCCCTGTATTTTTGTTCGGTTTCGTGCGTGATTTTTCGCCACATGATCAAGGATGTTCCTCGATGGTCCTCGCCGAGAAAAATGCCCACGTCCGAGCGATGCCAAGACGGTGTCCAAGAGTTTCGTTCCCCTCGGGGATCCACCCTCTTGTGGCGAGGGTTGGGCCACTCCCCTTGCTGTGATGTTGGTCGAACGATCGGGCATCGGGCCCGAGAGAGGTCGTGGATCGCCGTGGCGGGCGGGAAGATTTGGACACTGTCTCTCGTGTTCCTTCCCCCGAATCATGCTTGGACTTAGGGGCCTCTTCCTTGGACAAACTAAGGCCATAGGTTGGGCGCTCCGTTTGTCGGGTCGGGCGAAAGGGGGGGATAGCAAAGGGGGGGTTTGAGAATCAGCTCACGTAGCTGACTTTCCCGGCGCCTCCCGGCGCCAGAGGCGCCCCATGTATCGAGGAATGGGCCCCTCGGAGAGGCCGAAACCAGCTGCGTGCAGCAAATTTCGTACCCCCCCCTTTCCCAATCCCCCCCTTTCGCCCGGCCCGAGTTTGGGGGCCGGTGCTCGGTCGGTGGGCGCCCGCGGGCGCCATTGTGGCCGCCTCGTGCGCTTTCGCCCGGCGCCCGCCCGTGGACAGCCGCGGCGCCCGGTCGGTGGGCGCCCCGTCGGAGGGAGTCGCCCGGTGCTCGCCCGCGGGCGCCTCTGGCGCTACCGTACGTCGACGAGATGTTGCACCACTTGTGCCGCGCCTTGTCAGCTATGTTGCACTGCTCCTCCCCGCCCCTCCCCCTGATCTTAATATTGGGCACATGGCAAAGGTCCCTTGGCGCCCCCCCCAGGGCTCGCGACAGAATGTTGCACCACCGAGCCGTTTCGATGAACCCGGGACCGCAGCCAATGTTGAGATTGGGGGGAGGGGGGGGGTGGAAGCGAACATCCATTGCAAAATCGGCTTGCTTTCTTGACACCACCAGGTGGTGCAACATTTTGTCGATGTACCGTAGGTGGGGTGCGCAAAAGGTCTCGCCTGGTGCTCGCCCGCTACGCGGGCCCAGGGCGAATCGCTCCACCGCCGCAGCGCCAGGGCGGGCAATAACTAGACGAGCGCGCTTTCCTACTCGCAAAGTGGCTGCTCGCAAATGGACTGGATCCGCCGCGGGCGATCTACGATAAATTACATCGAGGCAGACATGTGGTTTTCGGGCGTTTGCGAGTAGTGGAACGCGCTCGGTGAATAACGGGCTCTGCTGGTACATCGGTTATTCTTGGAAACGAACGGACAGTGCACGGCGGCCCTACAGGGATCAGGTTTGAGTGAATTGTTCGTCACACAATCCGTGCACAGCGCGCTGGGGCCCAGGAAGGAGGAAGGACAGACGATTCGGGCAGCAAGCTACTCGTCCCAAGGCCACTGCTCAGATGAATCGGAGAGAGAGGATCAGGTGGTGGAGCTTGCGCAGGTCGAAGAGCCGCGCCAGGAGGAAGAGGAGGACGACGACGCCAGATGCCCCCGGTGGTCCCCGCGGGGAGCTTTCGGTAGGCCTCCCGAGGCCACAGAGAAGGCCGAGAGCGCGAGAAGACGTCCATCCTTGGAGAGCAATGTGGGATCTGCTCTGGCATCTGTAGGGAACTTACCGCAAACGGATCAAATTTACCCGTTCTCCGACCTTGATGTGCTGCGCCAAGCGCAGCGACCGCTCCACCCCGAGTGTGCAGACGCTTGTGGCTAGAACGTGCGTGTTGTATTCGGCAGACGCCCGCGATACTGTCCCAGAAGTGGGCAGGCTCTCAGTGGGCCCTGGAAACGACAGGGCCGTTTTTTTACCGGTTCCGTTTTGCCGTTTTTTTGCCGGTTCCGACGCCGTTGTTTCACCGGCTCCGTCGCCGTTTTTTGACCGGTTGCGGCTCCGGTTCCAATCCTGCAGCCGTTTTTGTGCCGTTTCCGGCCGCTGTTTTTTTTGCCGTCTCCACTTTCCAAGGGACACTTTTTCGGAAACGGTGAAACAACGGCCCTGCCGTTCCCGGGGCCCACAGAGGGCAGGCCTTGCCCGCCAAAACCCGCCCTCGGGACCTCGACCCGCGGACCCCGACCGGCGACGTCGACGGCGGAGCCGCAGCCGGCGGCTCGGGGCCTCCATGCCGGGGCGCGCGAGGCGCGCCCATGGGAAGGCCACCCCGTCGCCCTCGTCGGGCTCGGGGCACTCCACGCCCAGGGCGAAGTGGTCCGTCCCGAAGAAGGCGATCACTTGCGGGCGGCGACGGCGCCGAGGAGGCGAGCGCGACGGCGGCGAGAAAGACGGCGGGGGCTGCGGCGACGACGAAGACGGCTTCGCTGAGGCTCTCGTCGCCACGGCTGGGGGCGCGGCTCGACAAACAGCACGGACCCCAGCAAATATCGGAGACGAATTTCGAGCCTTCTTCGGTCGGGAAACGACGACGACAACGAAGCAGGAAACGACGGCTACGACGAAGGAAAAGAAAACGATGACGAGAACGAGCACGATGATGACGATGTGTTTAAACATTTTGAGCGTTTCTGAAGGACCTCGTCACCACGTCCAAAGAGAAGTGGTCCAGCCATAAGAATGCGATAAGACAATCACTCGAAAGAGCGACGGCTGCGACAACGCGAACTTGCCGACCCCTGGAGGCTTCCTATCCAGGAGCGCGGATTGGCTGGTTTGGTACAACGAAGCCACGAAGAGGATAACATCGGATGAAGATACGTTGAGAATCTCTGAAATCCACGACGCTGGAGGATGCCTCGGACGGAGCTGGACTCTGAACTCCGCGACGCTGGAGGATGCCTCGGGCGCCGCAGCCGTTTCAGGTGGGGCGGGGGCAGGAAATGCCAGCGGACTCGCCTGGCCCAGAAGAGCCCCCCCCAAAGCACACGGAAAGCGCCCATGGGCCGAACACGGGCCCAGGATGCGCCTCGAAACTCTGGTCGGAACGCATCCCGTGGGAGGGCTGGTGCTTTGTCTGCAGACGAGACGACGACGACGACGACGACGACGACGACGACGACGACGACGACGACGACGACGACGACGACGACGACGAGATCGACGACGTTTCGCTTCGCCCGATGTTTCGCGTTTCTGGAGGTCCTCGTCGCCACGGCCGGACGCGGCTCGAGAGACCGGCCAGGCTGGCCCCCGGAAGGGCCCCGGGACTGACCTTGAGCCGGTCTTCTGGCCGAGTACTGACGCCGACGAGGACAACACAGGGGCGCCACTGGACGAAAACGAGGAGGAGGAGGAGGTGGAGGGATTTTCCAGAGGCCTCCCAAATGGCGTCCGACAAGATGGGGTCGGAGGGTCGCGCCGCATCGCCGCTGCATCGGCCACACATCGGGGACGCATCGGCGATGCACTGGCGACGTCGGCGATGCCTCGGCGATGCATCGGCGACGCCGGCGTAGAGAAAATCGGGCTCCACATCGAGCCGCATCGCCACTGCATCGGCGATACGACGCGATCCTCCGACTCCATCCAATCGGACCCCATCTCCCCGTCGCTCGGACGTCCATTCCCTGTGTTTTTTGTTTCGTGCGTAGTTTTTTCGCAGAATGATCCAGGATGCTCCTTAATAATCCCCGCCGAGAAAAAAAAGCACACGTCCGAGCGATACCAAGCCATCTGGAAGGCCTGGGTCTTCTCAGGGCTCGCCGTCGGCGCACCGAGCCAGAGCTGCTCCTCTGCAGAAAATTTGCGGGCGGCGCGAGTGCTGTCGGGGGGAGCGTGAGGGGGCCGTCATGCGCCCCCTCGTTGAAGGGAAACTGGGACACACAAACAAATAGACACAAATAACCAGATTCCCTATATATTTTCCCATGTTTTCTGGGTTTTGGTCTTCCCCCCAACTTCCCGTATTTTCAAGGGAATCGACGATTGATTGTGTCTGTGTATTTTTTCCCTCCTGAGTCATGCGCCCCCTCCTCCTCATCCTCCGTCCTTCTCTTCTGGTCCTCGGGGGGCCGTCGCCGAGCCTTGACGCGGCCTGGATGGCAGATCGGCGTGGCGCCCAGGGGGCAGTGCAAAGACTAGCTTCGAGCGGATTTGCGACGAGGGGAAGGTACAGAGAAGCCGGAAAAAGTGGAACCTGCACGTCCAGTGACACTCACGGAATGTGGAGGTGGCCAGGGCTGGAAACACTGGCCGGGACAGGAAAGAACCAAAAACAGTTGGGATGAGGTCGCCGGAGCTGGGAAAACGGTGGAGAAACTTGCCAGGGCTGCAAGGAACGGGAAGGCTGGCCCAAGCCACTTTTGTAGCCTCCCCGCGACAGGAACATGCTTCTCCCAGAAGCAGAGCCCACGCCCGCAAGCTCCGCGCAGTCTCTGGGCGCCCACAAAAAGGATCAAATAAGTTATGACCCGAAGGCGTTTCTACGCAATGTTTTAACGCCGTGTTAAGTAGGCAATGCTGTCTACGCCGCCGTTTCACCCAATGCTATCTACGCGGTGTATGTCCCCTGTGTCTTCGTGTTTCCTACGCCGTGTCTTGTTGTACGCCCTGTTTTCTCGAGTGCGCGTTCTCTACGCAATGTGTTACACGAGGTGATTTCCACGCGGTCCTGTATTATTCTACGCGGTGGTTTCTCCAATGAATGTTTTGTACGCGGCATGTTCTACATAGTGTTTTCTACGCGATACTTTCCGCGTCGTGCTTCCGACGCAGCGTTGTGTTACGCATTTTTGTTCTTGTGTGTGCGTCTTCTCCGCAATATTTGCTACGCGGAGTTTTCTACGCGGTCCATGTGTTACGCGATGGTTTCTCCTGTGTGCGTCTTCTACGCAGTGGCTTCTACACAGCGTTGTTTGTTTGTACGAGGTGTTGTCTCTGGTGTTTTCTTCGCAATGTTTTCTACGCCGTGTGTTGCACGCATTCTTTGACGCGGTAGCACTGGTAGACAACACAGCGAAGAAAACACAACAGAAGAGACCACTGATAGTACACAACGTAGTATCCACCGCGGAGCCGCGGAGAAAACAACACGGACAACCCATCGTAGGCACAAAACGCAAAATAGACCACGGAACAAGTTTGCGGAATACGCGCTTCGGGAGACACAATATGGAGAAAACACAATGGAGAACACACCCTGGGAAACCACCACGGAAGACACACACCACGGAGGACACATCACGGAGGACATACGATGGAGGACACGCCATGGAGGACACACCGCTGAGAAAGCACCACAGAGGACACACCACTAAGTTAAGGGTACACCACGGAGGGTACACCACGAAGCGAACACCGCGAAGCTAGCACCACGGCGCACACGCATACACACACCACGAAGCAAACACACTACGAGGAAGCTGCGCAGCATCCACTACGCAGGAACCACTGCGCAGAAAAAAAACACCTTCGAGCTCGCGACTGCACCGTTCACTCTACCCCTGCCTCCACCCTCCTCCTCCTCCGCTCCTCCTGGCGGCGAGCGCATGGGGCGGGGCCTGTGACCTCCACGGCCTTCGTGCGGGGCTCCAAGGTCCACCGCGTGGCCCTCTCGACGCCGTCCCTGCCGCCAAGCTCCCGGCGGTTCGGTCTTCCGTCATCCTCGTCGTGGTCTCCCTCCTCGTCGTCCTGCTCCTCCCTTATCCCCCCTCCTCGTCCCTCCTCGTCCCTCCTCGTCCTGGTCCTTTCCCTTCCTCCTCTCCCCGTCCTGGCTATCTCTTCCCCGTCCTCGTCCTGGCATGCCTCCTCATCCCCAGCCCTGGCCTGCATCCTCCATTCCTCTCCCTCCTTCCTCCTCTTCCCAGTGAGGCCCAGAGCAGCTCCAAAAGCTGCACATCACTAGAAAAGTGCAGGACATTCCGATAACTGAAATAATATACTGACAATACTTTCAATCCTCCTATCATGAGCCTCCCATCCCGCTGCTCCTCCTACAGTAGGAGCTCGACCACAAAAAACCTTTCACAAGAAACCCAACCCTGAGACCCCAGGACGTCCATTGATTTGAAGTGTGGGAACGTCGCAAAAAAAATCGAAGCCCAAGAAATCTAAGGGTTTCCGCTGTACTCCTCCTTGGCAGGGGTTTCCACAGTACTCCTCCTCCTCTCTCCATCTCTAGCGAGGGGTCGGTCTTCTTCAAAACAAGGGTGGGGAAACCAAAAGGTATCGATACCGCTACCCTTCGGTCGGGCCTGTCCCCCTACAGGGGGATTTGGGCCAAACAGTTAAAAATACCCCACACATACTCCAATAATGCCAACACATAATCAAACCATAGTCCCCAAACTATGTTTTAACAATGTTTGAATATTCCTCCTGTAGAGGGACAGGCCCGACTTAACGCTACTCCCCAGACCTGTCCCGTGGTGCGTTCTGACCAGAATTTCGAGGCGAATCCAGCGGTGGCGACGACCCTTTGGGCGTGAGTGGTTTAGAGAGCCCGCTCTGTTCTCAACCCCCTTCTTCCCCTTCGGGGAAGGGTTTACCCCTCCCCCTACCCCCTCCCCCTGGGCCTGGAGAGGTCCTTTCGCGGGTCGTTGGGGGGGTCATTTTCGACTCCTGGGAGGGCTAAAAAACGACACCCCTCACGAGGATTCTGGCCCCGACGGGGGGGCCCAGAAAAACCTTCTCATCTTCTTTGAAGCCAAAATCATTGATTTTACTACGGTTTTGGCCCCATGTTCTCTTTCTGAGGGGGCAGCGCTCATTAAAGCTTCCCTCTTCTTTCCAGGCAAAATCATTGATTTTACGAAGGTTGTGGCCCCATTTTGGCCTTCTGAGGGGGCAGCGCTCATCAAAGCTCCCCTCTTCTTTGATCGATTCCCTCCAAGATGGCCCCAAGAAGCGCCCAGGAGGCACCAAGAGGCCCCAAGATGGCCCCAAGAGGCCCCCAGGAGGCCCCCAAGAAGATCCCAAACGGCCCAAAGAGGCCCCCCCGAGGCACCCAAGACGCCGAAAAGCCCATCAGGACGACCCTCTACTCGCCTGGGCGTCGTTTCTGGACGGGCAGGAGGAGGGGCCCGAACGACTCACACCAGGACGAGGGGCCCGAACAACTCACACCACGAGAAGCCCGAACGACTCACACCAGGACGAAGAGCCCGAACGACTCACACCACGAAGAGCCCGAACGACTCACACCAGGAAGAAGGGCCCGAACGACTCACACCAGGACGAGAAGCCCGAACGACTCAAACCACGAGGAGCGCTTTCTCTCCCTCCTCCTCCGCCTCGTCCTTCTCCCGCTCCCACCACAAGGAGGATGTACAAGGAAGCGGGAGGAAGGAGGAACAGGGGAGATATGCGGGGGCAGGCGGAAGCACGCCTGAAAAACACGACTGTCGGCATGCTTCGCTAGAGTTGCTGCTTTGAGATGGGCTGGTGGGGATACGCGAAGAGTGAAGAATTTCGAGGCGAATCCAGCGGTGGCGACGAGGGCTTCCTAGGAGGCCCAACAAGGGGACAACGGACGAAGGGTAGAGGTATGGGTACTTTTCCCTTCTCTGAGGCCTTCTTCGAGGCAGGGAGGCCTCGTCGAAGGCGTCGGGGGCCTCCAGAGAGGCTCGTTGCCAGGCGGGAGGGCTTCCAGGAGACCCCCGAGCCTTAAGTCGGGCCTGTCCCCCGACATGCGTTTTTTGGGGCGAAACAGGAAAACAAAAACCCAACAACAACTCAAAAACATCAACAACTAATCAGAACATTGTCTCCAGACTATTTGTTTACTATTTCTGAGTATTCCTCCTGTAGAGTTAAGTCGGGCCTTTCCCCATACAGGGGGATTCTGGACGAAAAATTAAGAATACACAAAAATGCACCAAAATGGCAAACAAATACTCAAAACATCGTTCCCAGAGTACTTTTTACTATTTTTGAATCTTCCCCCCTGTGGAGGGACAGGGCCGACTTCACTGTAGATTTGGACGCCCGAAATGGACACGGAAAGAATGGGTACAATGCCCAACAACAAATGTTGTCCCAAACCAACAGCGGCCGCTGTTGGGCAGGCGGCCTTCTGTCTCGAATGGACACAGGCCGCGGCGGCGTGGACAGCGCGTCTTGTTCAAAATGGACAAGATCCGCTGTTGGGCATTGTACCCATTCTTTCCGTGCCCATTTCAGTCGTGCAGACACATGCTCTGGGTTCTCGTCTTCTCGGGCCCAGCGAAAGGGGGGGATGGCTAAGGGGGGGTTGAGAATCAGCTCACGTAGCTGATTTTCCCAGCGCCTCCCAGCGCCGGCAAGCGCCCATGCATCGAGGAATGGGCCCGGCGGCGGGGCCGAAGCCAGCTGCGTGCAGCAGATTTCGAACCTTCCCCTTTCCCTATTCCCCCCCTTCGTTCGGCACGATTTTCCCACATGCTCTAGGTTTTCGTCTTCCCCCCCAAACCCCATGCTGCCCCATATCTCCCTGGAAACCGACGTCTGAGTGTGGCTGCGCGTTCTTTCCCCTCCTGAAGAGCAGAGCCCCAGGAACCCTCCCTGGAGCCACCTTGGAACGGCAGGTTCGTGTCGTGCCGACTTCGGCGCTGGTTTCTGACACCGCGGGCACCTTTCAACCTTGAACGATCAGCCCTGTCCGAAACGTCAAATCTTTCAACTTCGACCGATTCTAAGCCGCCACCGACAATCAACATGGAACGCCGAAGGCTGGGTCGCCGCCGGTCGACACGACACGAACCTATCGTAGTTTTCCGAGCCGCGTCCAGCAGCGGCCACAAGACCCTCCAAGCGGCCACCAGAATCGGGCACACACGCTAATCTTAGGTCGGGCATGTCCTCCTGGAGTCCTCCCCCAAGCGTATTTTGGCTGATCAAAATAATTCTAAAATCATGATAAGACATATTCGAAACATTGTCCCAATACTATTGTTGTGCCATTCTTGAAAGATTATCCTGTAGAGGGACACGCTCGACTTGCCGCCCCGTGGGCGCCGGATCCACCGGCCGGGGAGCGTAACAACCGAAACATAGCGCCAATACCGCCGGATTTGGCGACGGACCGCGCTGGTTTGGAATGATGCGGGGATCCGCCGCTAATCGACGTGCCTTGATCCATGTGTTTTCTTTCGGGGAGACGTAAGACTCGGGTACGGGGGACTCGGGTTGGCCTGATGGGGCAATCATGAAAATGACGAGACCCAATCTGAAACTTGACGCGATCTCCCGCTGCAAACATCACACGGAAACTGGACAGTCAAAATCCAGGAGGCGCTCGTCAAAAAACGTCAGCAAAACCGAGTTCTGGCTGACTCAAATCTGACGTTTCTCCGATTCTCCACACATGGCAGTTTTCCGTGATGCGCACCGCCGACGGCGGCAGCTGTCCCAGGCCCTTACCAAATCCAATCGCGAAATCGGATCGGGTCGGGAACGGCTCGGATCGCCAACGAACCGCCCCAAAACGGATCGAAATCCCATCGCCGCGCCCGGCTGCGGCTGGCCCCGGCCGGTGCCGCCGAATCGAGCCGAATCGAAGCGCATCGGAATCGCGAGCCAAGCCGGGGAATCAAATCGCATGGAACTGGATCGCAGTGGGGCCCTGCTTTGGAAGAAGAATCAGCGGCGTAAGCAGAAACTTGGCAGGCCTAGAGGTTGACTTCAACACCAATTTCGGCGGTGTGCCTCCACCGAGGGAAGAAGATCCCGATCTCGGTGATGGTGGTGATATTCTGGGATCATCTTCACCCTGTGGAGGCAACCCCTTGTGTTGGTGTTGGTGCCCATTTCCAGGCCTCCAAAAACTTTTGGTGCTCTGCGCGGACTTCTTGGATCTGCGCTGGACCCCCCTCCCTGGCGCGCGGAGCGCGCCAGGGGGCTGCCCCGCGCGGTTCAAGCAATCCGCGCGGAGCGCCCACAAAAGTATATGTTCATGCCGTGTGTTGTTTGTTCTTCGACGCTTCCCCCCTTCGTCCGCTTCGATGTTTTTGGTTTCGATGCTTCCCCCTCCGTCCGTCCCCTTCGATGCTCCCCCCCCCCACGTTTTTCTGTTTCGATGCTTCCCCCCCCTCGTCCGCTTCGATACGTTTTGCTTCGATGCTTCCCCCCCCCCGTCCGTCCGCTTCGATGCTCCCCCCCCCCGTGTTTTGTTGTTCTTCGATGCTTCCCGCCCCCCCCCCGTCCGCCTGACAGCCAGCTTCAGCTTCGTCCAGTCTGCGTCGAGGCCGAAGGCCTCCTTCTCCGCGCCGAAGGTGTTCACGCGGCACCTCTTGGGCGCAGGCCGGCTGGGCGAGCGGCCGAGAGCAGCCCCCCTTGTGTGCCACTCTCCCGCGCAGCTCGCTGGCGAGGGCGAGGGCGAGGAAGACGACGGGTTAGCAGGCCGGAGGCATAGAAGAAAAACGGCATCAACAAAAACTGTTGGCGCCCCGCGCGGTTTTCTTGGATCCGCGCTGGTCCCCTCCCTGGCGCGCGGAGCGCCAGGGGCGGCGGCGGAGGCGCCGCTGGGGCCCAAGCATAGATCTAAGAAATCCGCGCGGAGCGCAACAAGATTGTGTTCATGGTGTTTTTTCCCTACCATCCTGTGGTGTTGGGTCCTCGTTTGAAAAGACAGTGCCCCGCGTCACTCCTCTCCTCTCCTCCTCCCCCTCCTCCTCCCTCCTCCCACAGAAGCGCCGCCCTCTCTCCTCTCCTCTCCTCTCCTCTCCTCTCCTCTCCTCTCCTCTCCTCTCCATTTCGGCACGCCCCTCGCACGTTCTGTGGCCCCACAGGGAACTCCACCGAAGGCCCCAGTCGCTGCGTTCGCATGCGCCCACCGCACCCATTCCGGCACACCCCTCACACGTTTCGTGGCTCCACAGGGGGCCCCACCGAAAGCCCCTGTGGCTGCGCTCGCTTGCGCCAGCCGCACCCTTTTCGGCACACCTCTCACACGTTTCGTGGCCCCACAGGGAGCTCGACCTAAGGCCCCAGTGGCTGCGTTCGCATGCGCCCACCGCACCCAGTTGGGCACACCCCTCACACGCTTCGCGGCCCCACAAGGAGCTCCACCGAAGGCCCGAGTGGACGCGTTCGCATGCGCCCACCGCACCCATTTCGGCACACCCCTCACATGTTCCGTGGCCCCACAGGGAGCTCCACCGAAGGCCCCGGCACAGCCCTCATGCTATTCGTGGCCCCTTAGGGATCGCTACCGAAGAAGATACTCACACTTGCGGCACGCACAGCTGCATAGCGTTGGGTCCTTCGCCGGGATAGTTTCTTCTCCGGGGAAGTCGGGCATGCTCCCCTACAGGGAATTTTGGACGAACAATAGCAAATACCCCAAACATATTCCCAAATATAAAAAAAACACTCAAAAAATCGTCCCCCGAATATTCTTGGACTATTTTTTAAATTCCTCCTGTAGGGGGACGTGCCCGATTTAAGTGCAGGGTGAGGTGGAGGATCGCACGAGGAAGAGGGCCAGTTTAAGTCACTGGCACGAGGGGGGGAAGAAGCAAAAAGTGGACGGGGCAGGATACGATGGTGGAAAAGGAGAAGCAGCAGCGTGAGCCTGAGGACGAGTTCGACGATGAAAAGTTATAGGCCTCCTGGGTGGGGTCCGAGTAGATGGGGTCGGAGGATCGCGCTGCATCGGCGATGCATCGGCCATGCGGCTCGATGCGGAGCCCGAGTTGCTTCGCGTCGGCGCCGTCGATGCATCGCCCGCGTCGACGATGCATCGCTGGTACATCGCCGATGCATCGCTGATGCATCGGTGATGCATCGCCGACGCATCGGCGATGCGGCGAGGTCCTCCGACCCCACCTAGGAGGCCTCGAAGAATCAATAGCACAAACGCCCACTCAAATTCCGCATCGGGGCTGCTCCAGGCTCCCGTCCTGCCCACTGCTTCGAGGGGGGGGGGAGGGCGAGGAGAGGGGGACGCAGGAGGTGCGCAGGGGGTGCGGGAGGGGTGGTGAGGACCCAAACTGCGGAAACCCAAAGGTGCCGAAACCGCTACTCCCCAGACCTCTCCCCGGGTGAGCTCTGAGCAGATTCTCGAAGCGAGTCCAGCGGCGGTTTAGGTCGCGGGTGGGTCGCGGGCTCTCCACCTCCACCTGGAAGGAATGCAAAAGCAGCACGCCGCAGGCGCCAACAAAAATGGGTTTGTACACTCAACGTGGTTTGGGTCGCGGGTGGGCCACGGGTTCTCCACCGGGAACGAATGCAAAAGATGCCCGCCGCAGGCGCCGAAAAATGTGGCTTGTACCCTGAACGTGGTCGCGGGTGGGCCGCGGGCTCTCCACCTGAAACGAATGCAAAAGATGCCCGCCGCAGGCGCCGAAAAATGTGGTTTGTACCCTGAACGTGGTTTGGGTCGCGGGTTGGTCGCGAGTTGGTCACGGGGTGGGTCGCGGGCTCTCAACCTGGAAGGAATGCAAAAAAAAACCCGCCGCAGGCGCCGAAAATGGTGGTTTGTACCTTGAACGTGGTTTGGGTCGGGTGGGTCGCGGGTGGGTCGCGGGGTGGGTCGCGGGTGGGTCGCGGGTGGGTCGCGGGTGGGTCGCGGGTGGGTCGCGGGTGGGTCGCGGGGTGGGCCGCGGGCGGGTCGCGGGGTGGGTCGCGGGTGGGTCGCGGGTGGGTCGCGGGGTGGGTCGCGGGGTGGGTCGCGGGGTGGGTCGCGGGTGGGTCGCGGGTGGGTCGCGGGTGGGTCGCGGGGGGTCGCGGGGTCGCGGGGTGGGTCGCGGGGTGGGTCGCGGGTGGGTCGCGGGTGGGTCGCGGGTGGGTCGCGGGGTGGGTCGCGGGGTGGGTCGCGGGTGGGTCGCGGGCGCGGTTGCGGGTGGGACGACGACAACAAACAACAACAGCAACAACAACAACAACAACAATCATTTTACCCGAACGCGTGGTGTTCTCCCCAGTGCCAGGGTTTTCATACGACACCAGGCAATACCCCCACTTCGTGGGGGGGCATTACAAGCTCTACCAAATATCCAAACGACTCTTCGCGACCACCCAAACCCAGCTTCCCGCCCTATGACGTTGGGACACTTCACTTCGTGGCGTGCGGACGACCGTGGCTACTACACTGGCGTGGGGTACACACCCACAGAACTTGGTCACTTATTCGGGGCGCGCATGTGCCCAGCATGGTGCAATTGTGCCATACAATACATAATACAGAGAGACGAATGTGTCCCGCATGGTATTATTTGACAGGGATGATGGCCCTGGCAGGTGCGCAACCGTTGTCGCAGAAGTTCGAAAAAGTTGCTCGCAAAAGCCCGTTTGACAGAAATGTTTAAAAAGTGTTGGGTTTCCTACGAATCCGCAAGAGCGCGCGGGATGAGATTTTGACATTTTTTTGTTGAAAAACCATTGGTTTTTTGATGTTTTTATGTTAAAATCGCTTCCGAACACTAAGCTTTTGGAAGGATTTCGTCTTGCGCGCGCGAATGTCCACTTTACCTTATTTTTTGCAAGGGATTCTTGAAATTTGATTATATTAGAACAAGAAATGTCATTTTATAGTGTTTTTTGCAAGGGAAAGCGGATTACAACAAAACAACCGGATCTGATCACATCGTTTACCTGAGGCTTCCTCACGAAAATGATGAAAATGTAGCTGCGGCCTAGGCGGCGCAGGGGGGGGCGCGCACCAGGGGGCCCAACAATAATTATTCTTTAGAATTAATAATGTTCAACAACAACAACAATTACTAGCACGTGGGGACACTCCGTTCTCACCAGTGCCAGGGTTTTCATAGGAGGCGGGCAATACCCCCACTTTGTGGGGGGGCCGGTTCAAGCTCTACCAAATTTCCAAACGACTCTTCGCCACCACCCACACCCAGCTTCCCGCCCTATGACGTTCGGACACTTCACTTCGTGGCATGCGGACGACCGTGGCTACTATTCAGGGCCCCGCGGCCGACGACGACGGCGTGCGCGCGCGAAGAAAAAACGAATGTGTCCCGCATGGTATTATTTGACAGGGATGATGGCCCTGGCAGGTGCGCAACCGTTGTTGCAGAAGTTCGAAAAAGTTGCTCGCAAAAGCCCGTTTGACAGAAATGATTAAAAAGTGTTGGGTTTCCTACGAATCCGCAAGAGCGCGCGGGATGAAATTTGACATTTTTTTTTGAAAAACCATTGGTTTTTTGATGTTTTTATGTTAAAATCGCTACGAAAACTAAGGTTTTGGAAGGATTTCGTCTTGCGCGCGCGAATGTCCACTTTACCTTATTTTTTGCAAGGGATTCTTGAAGTTTGGTTATGTTAGAACAAGAAATGTCCACTTTAGCTTGTTTTTTGCAAGGGAAAACCGATCGTAACAACACAACCGGATCCGGACTCCCCCGTTTTGCTTGAGACTTCCTCACGAAAATGATGAAAATGAGGCTGCGGCCTAGGCGCGGCGGGGGGGTCGTGCACCAGGGGCCCCAACAAAAATCATTCTTTAGAAGTAATAATGTTCAACGAAAACAACAACAACAACAGCAACAGACAACAGACAACAGACAACAGACAACAAACACCAGACAACAGACAACAAACAACAGACAACAGACAACAGACAACAAACAACAAACAACAAACAACAAACAACACACAACAAACAACAAACAACAAACAACAAACAACAAGCAACAAACAACAAACGACAAACAACAAACAACAAACAACAAACAACAAACAACAAACAACAAACAACAAACAACAAACAACAAACAACCAACAACCAACAACCAACAACCAACAACACCAACAACAACAACAACAATTACTAGCACGTGGGGACACACCGTTCTCACCAGTGCCAGGGTTTTCATAGGAGGCGGGCAATACCCCCACTTTGTGGGGGGGCCGGTTCAAGCTCTACCAAATTTCCAAACGACTCTTCGCCACCACCCACACCCAGCTTCCCGCCCTATGACGTTCGGACACTTCACTTCGTGGCATGCGGACGACCGTGGCTACTATTCAGGGCCCCGCGGCCGACGACGACGGCGTGCGCGCGCGAAGAAAAAACGAATGTGTCCCGCATGGTATTATTTGACAGGGATGATGGCCCTGGCAGGTGCGCAACCGTTGTTGCAGAAGTTCGAAAAAGTTGCTCGCAAAAGCCCGTTTGACAGAAATGATTAAAAAGTGTTGGGTTTCCTACGAATCCGCAAGAGCGCGCGGGATGAAATTTTGACAATTTTTTTGAAAAACCATTGGTTTTTTGATGTTTTTATGTTAAAATCGCTACGAAAACTAAGGTTTTGGAAGGATTTCGTCTTGCGCGCGCGAATGTCCACTTTACCTTATTTTTTTGCAAGGGATTCTTGAAGTTTGGTTATGTTAGAACAAGAAATGTCCACTTTAGCTTATTTTTTGCAAGGGAAAACCGATCGTAACAACACAACCGGATCCGGACCAACCCGTTTTGCCTGAGACTTCCTCACGAAAATGATGAAAATGAGGCTGCGGCCTAGGCGCGGCGGGGGGGTCGTGCACCAGGGGCCCAACAATAATTATTCTTTAGAAGTAAAAATGTTCAACAACAACAACAACAACAACAACAACAACAACAACAACAATCACTTTACCCGAACGCTCAGTGTTCTCACCAGTGCCAGGGTTTTCATGCGACGCCAGCCAATACCCCCACTTTGTGGGGGGGCAGTGCAAGCTCTACCAAATATCCACACGACTCTTCGCCACCACCCACACCCAGCTTCCCGCCCTATGACGTTCGGACACTTCACTTCGTGGCCTGCGGACGACCGTGGCTACTACACTGGCGTGGAGTACACACCCACAGAAGTTGTTAAGCCTACGTTCGTACACCCACAGAAGTTGTTAAGCCTTGTGAACCCACAAGGCTTAACAACTTGTGAACCCACACCCGTTGCAAGAGCGTGCGAAAGTAGCTCGCGCGAGCTCATGTAACATAAATGTTGGAAAACCATTGGTTGTTTTAGGATTCGGACAGCGCGCGCGGGTGGAAATTTTGAAAAGTCGTGCAGCTGTTTTTCGAGGACCTACGGTGCGATTCGTGTGATTTTATGATGCGCGGTGGTAAAATTCTTAAGAACCCAATGGTTTTTGGAGATTTCGGCGTGCGCGCGCGAAGAAAAAACGAATCTGTCCCGCATGGTATTATTTGACAGGGATGATGGCCCTGGCAGGTGCGCAACCGTTGTCGCAGAAGTTCGAAAAAGTTGCTCGCAAAAGCCCGTTTGACAGAAATGTTTAAAAAGTGTTGGGTTTCCTACGAATCCGCAAGAGCGCGCGGGATGAGATTTTGACATTTTTTTGTTGAAAAACCATTGGTTTTTTGATGTTTTTATGTTAAAATCGCTCCGAACACTAAGCTTTTGGAAGGATTTCGTCTTGCGCGCGCGAATGTCCACTTTACCTTATTTTTTGCAAGGGATTCTTGAAATTTGATTATATTAGAACAAGAAATGTCATTTTATAGTGTTTTTTGCAAGGGAAAGCGGGGGGGAACAAAACAACCGGATCTTGATCACATCGAATTACCTGAGGCTTCCTCACGAAAATGATGAAAATGTAGCTGCGGCCTAGGCGGCGCAGGGGGGCCGTGCACCAGGGGTCCCAACAATAATTATTCTTTAGAATTAATAATGTTCAACAACAATTACTAGCACGTGGGGACACTCCGTTCTCACCAGTGCCAGGGTTTTCATAGGAGGCGGGCAATACCCCCACTTTGTGGGGGGGCCGGTTCAAGCTCTACCAAATTTCCAAACGACTCTTCGCCACCACCCACACCCAGCTTCCCGCCCTATGACGTTCGGACACTTCACTTCGTGGCATGCGGACGACCGTGGCTACTATTCAGGGCCCCGCGGCCGACGACGACGGCGTGCGCGCGCGAAGAAAAAACGAATGTGTCCCGCATGGTATTATTTGACAGGGATGATGGCCCTGGCAGGTGCGCAACCGTTGTTGCAGAAGTTCGAAAAAGTTGCTCGCAAAAGCCCGTTGACAGAAATGATTAAAAAGTGTTGGGTTTCCTACGAATCCGCAAGAGCGCGCGGGATGAAATTTTGACGTTTTTTTTTTTTTTTGTTTTGAAAAACCATTGGTTTTTTTAGTGTTTTTATGTTAAAATCGCTACGACAACTAAGGTTTTGGAAGGATTTCGTCTTGCGCGCGCGAATGTCCACCTTACCATATTTTTTGCAAGGGATTCTTGAAGTTTGGTTATGTTAGAACAGGAAATGTCCACTTTCGCTTATTTTTTGCAAGGGAAAGCGGGCGTCAACAAAACAACCGGATCTGGATCACATCGTTTTGCCTGAGGTTTCCTCGCGAAAATGATGAAAATGAGGCTGCGGCCGAGGCGCGGCGGGGGGGCCGCGCACCAGGGGCCCCAACAATAATTATTCTTAAGAAGGAATAGTGTTCAACAACAACAACAACAACAATCACTTTACCCGAACGCTCAGTGTTCTCACCAGTGCCAGGGTTTTCATGCGACGCCAGCCAATACCCCCACTTTGTGGGGGGGCAGTGCAAGCTCTACCAAATATCCACACGACTCTTCGCCACCACCCACACCCAGCTTCCCGCCCTATGACGTTCGGACACTTCACTTCGTGGCCTGCGGACGACCGTGGCTACTACACTGGCGTGGAGTACACACCCACAGAAGTTGTTAAGCCTACGTTCGTACACCCACAGAAGTTGTTAAGCCTTGTTAACCCACAGAAGTTGTTAAGCCTTCCACAGAACATCTGTTGCATATGATGCATATGGTACATGATACACATGATACACATGATACGTACTCACAAGATAGTTGATCACATCTTTAGGGCAAATTCCTGAGGGATGTGGGAATACACAAGAGAGAGAGGATATGGTTGTCCCGATGGTTGTCTCGATGGTTGTCCCGATGGTTGTCCTGATGGTTGTGGTTGTCCCGATCGTTGTCCCGATGATTGTCCCGATGGTTGTCCTGATGGTTGTGCTTGTCCGATGTTGTGATTGCTCGCAAAAGCCCGTTTGACAGAAATGTTTAAAAAGTGTTGGGTTTCCTACGAATCCGCAAGAGCGCGCGGGATGAGATTTTGACATTTTTTTGTTGAAAAACCATTGGTTTTTTGATGTTTTTATGTTAAAATCGCTGCGAACACTAAGGTTTTGGAAGGATTTCGTCTTGCGCGCGCGAATGTCCACTTTACCTTATTTTTTGCAAGGGATTCTTGAAATTTGATTATATTAGAACAAGAAATGTCATTTTCTATTGTTTTTTGCAAGGGAAAGCGGATTACAACAAAACAACCGGATCCTGTACACACCCTCTTTTCTGAGGCTTCCTCACGAAAATGATGAAAATGTAGCTGCGGCCTAGGCGGCGCAGGGGGGGCGCGCACCAGGGGGCCCAACAATAATTATTCTTTAGAATAAATAATGTTCAACAACAACAACACCAACAACAACAACGAGAATCCGCACCGCGGAATTCCACTTCAGCCACGCACCCAGGGACAGTGAATGACCGTTCGGCCCCCTCACTCTGATATCGTCAGAGATCTGTGGGCGGGGGACGGGTCGGGGAATATTGCAGTGGAGGCCGGTCCACAAGAAACCTTCCACAAGAAACCCAACCCTGAGACCCCAGGACGTCCATTGATGCTTGGTGTGGGAACGTCAGGCTTTCCATTGCAAGACCCTTGAAACCTCAGAAACCCAGGGCACCCTGGAGGCGAGCAGGGTGCTTCTTGCATGGGCCTCCACCGCATCGTCAAAGATCTGGGGACGGGGGACGGGTCGGGGATTGCGAAAGGTGCCCCTGGCCCAAGGTGTCCCCCAACGGTTCGATCCATTTTGGAGCCCCCTGGGCCCAGTGGGCCTCGTGAGGGGCACTCTGGAGGCCGAGGAATCCGGAGGATGCAAGGGTCATTGCACCGGCCTTGCAGACGTGCTGCAGCGGGTTGCTGCGTGGATTTTTGCTCGAAACGGCGAGCGAAAAACGAAAGTAATTTCGCGTGGATTATTTTTGGTCTTCATTCCTGGCCAAAAAACAATCCGCACGAAATTCACCTCGAAATCCGGACCGAAATTCTCCAGGATACTCTGGGCCCACCCCATCGTTTTCCGAACGAAATCCGCTCTGCGATGTTGGCGCCATGATACTCTGAAGGCCGAGGAGTCCAGAGGATGCAAAGGAAATCTTATCTTGGAAAATCGCTCATCCTTGCTATCCGTGTTGACTGCCCAGACATACGCCTTCCCGTCTCTGCACAGGGGTCCCTCAAGTCCCGACCCTTCCCCCGGGACCAAGTTCTCGGGGTTGACGGCCCTGGGGCTCCGTAAGGGCACCCACAAGCCCAGAACGATGAACAACCTGCCGTCCTCTTTTTTTGTCACGACGCGAGCACGTCCGGTTGTGTTCTTTCCGTGCCCGCTCTTGGGTCGGGCAGGTCCTCCTACAGGCGGCTTTCGCAAGATCCTCTTTCTTGTAAGAAAACACCCCGCGGATATCCCAACATTGCCAGAACATAGCAGAAGCATCGTCCCCAGACTACTGTTGTGGATGCCGCGACAATGGACACCCTAACAGTCCTATCATCGAATTATAAATGTGTTTAAGATGTCGGAAACATGTCGTGAAAATGTTTAAAACATGTGTTCTACATGTTTTAGACATCTGGGAATTATTTGGCAACATGCTTCCTCTCCATTGATCCTCCTCCAGAAGGCTACTGTTCGACAATATTTGAAGACTCCTCCTGCAGAGGGACGTGTCCGACGAAAGCCTCTTCCGATCGTGCCCGAGGCTCCTCCCTTTGAACAGGGACCGACCGTCCCGGCATTCCTATAGTCCTACCACGAAATGTTCTTAGAACCCAAACTGTTCTGAGAACCAAAACAATGTTCTTAAAACATAGACCCGATGCGTCGAAAGCCAAGACGGTCTCAGCCAGAAGTGTTCTAGGAACATTTCCTGGGGACCACAACAACTTCTCAGAACATTCTTTGGTGGGGCTACAGGCACGCCGGGACGCTTCGCCACTGCTTGGATCCCTCGGCGCCTCGCGTTGAAGCGCAGGGGCCGCTGGCCGGCGAGCTCCGCCAGGTGGGGCGCGAGGGCCCCCCGGAGGCCGCCCGGCCCCGCGGCGGCCTCCTCGACGAACGCGGCCAGCGCGCCGTACACGTCGGCCCCCCCGCAGATGGCCCGCAGGTCGTCCTCACGAACTCCTCCTCCTCCTCCCTCCTCCCTCCTCCTCCTTCTCCTCCTCCTCCTCCTCCTCCTCATCCTCCTCCTCCTCCTCCCCCTCCTCCCCCTCCTCCCCCTCCTCCCCCTCCGCCCCCTCCTCCTCCTCCGCCTCCTCCTCCTCCTCGGAGCGACGAAAAGAGACGGGCGCCCTGCGCGAGATGGCATAGCGACATCACGCGGCGTTTTACGCGGGCCGCCAGCGCGGCACGCCACATTGGAAACCAGGGCGCTCACGCGCGACCTCACGCGTGGAGCTTACGCGCCAAGGTCGGTTCAATCGAGCTTGTTTGTTTTTGCGTCGCTCTGATGGGCTTGCGTTGAGGGGGCAGGAGGATCGCGCCGCACCGCCAATGCATCACTCATGCATCGGCGATACATCGGCGAGGCGTGGAGAAAATCGGGCCCCACATCGAGCCGCATCGCCGATGCATCGGCTATGCGGCACAGTCCTCCGACCCACCCCACTCCGACTCCATCTGGGAGGCCTAGACGAGCGGCGAACGCATCCAAAGGCCTTGTCCTCGGCAGCGGAAGGTCGGCGGAAGCCGGCGGAAGTAAGAGATGCGCCCCCAAGTCGGGTGCTGCTAGAAGTGCCCCTGGCATTATGCTGTTCCCATCCTGCTTAAGGACCGCATCCCAGAATTAATTTCGAGCGCCCACAAAGTATCAAAAGAGTGTCGAAAGAGTGGCGAAACAGTGTCGGGCAAGTGTCTCCCGGGGCCCGACACGTGAAAACCCTCGAGGTTCGGTAATTCTGGGGCCGCTCAAAATTCTTCTTGGTGATCAAGGCTAAGGTAGGCTGGAGCATCATAATCCCGGCCCAAGGTGCCCCCGAGATGTCCAGGGAGGCCCCAGAGGCCTCCAGAGGACCCCTCGCGAGAGGCGAGGGCCCCAGGGGCTCCAAACTGGGGCGAGCAGCGGGGGGCACCCTGGCCCAGGGGCACCTTCTAGCGCCCCCCGACCAAGAGATGGCAACCCCTCTGGGCGCAGGGATCCAGAACATGCGCGCCCTCGCGGTCTCTGGACTCTTGGGCGCGACCCCGCAGATGCGCGGTCGTACGGGGCATCCGCGGAAAAGCGCCCCGCGCATCCGCGGGGTCGCAGCCAACGGGCCCGGCCCGGGAGGCCGCGGACGCGGATATGGGCTTCTCGCCCACGAAGAGCTGCGAGCCGACATCCAAGACGAGCAAACTGAGCAAGGTCGATCCATCCCTGATCGATGAGCATCGTGTAACCGATCCCTGTCCCCACGGGCGTGGCCTGGGCCACACTGGCCGATTCATCCCCCTGGATGGGGATGTTGGCTGTTCCCTTGGAGTTTCGAGGGGCATATCCCCAACTGGGATGGTGAGATGGTGGGGGTCGGGATGGGGATGGGAACCTGTTAGACGATACTGAATCAGGATGCTCACTCTGGGGACCTTCCTGGAGACACTCGCTCCACTCGTGCGTCGAAGCTGCGTCGAACGACCGTCGATTTGAACCGACCTCGAGTCGAACCTGTGTCGAACCTGAGTCGAACCCGAGTCGAACTTGAATCGAGCTTGCGTCGAACTGGGGCCGAACTAGAGTCGAACATATCCATTAGGCGGGCCACAGGAAAGGCCCCCAAACGAGCATCTGACTGAATCGAGGAACCTGCATCGGGGACGCGCAAACATGGATTGGCGACCCACGGATCGGGGGAGGCGCCCTCCTCAAAGTGTGGTGGCTCCTCGTTCGGCGGCGGCAATCAACGATTTCCTATGGAAACGGGACTCGTCGCTACAGTCGGGGCGTTGACCTAAGGATCCCTAAATAAGGAACGAGGCCCCTTGCTCCCATAAGCTAAGTTTTGATTTCCCATGGAAAACGAAAGGAACACCCAAGGCAAACTGTACAACAATCAAAGAACACCGGGCCCCTCCCCGACGAAGAGGGTTTCTTCTTCAGCGCCCCGACTGCAATCCGCGCCCCCTTTCATCCAGGCTTGCGATCGCCTGCCTGCAGCAGGGGAGCCCCGCGAGAGAGAACGCAGGGTGCGCCACTCCTCCGTCGCGCTGCGCACCGACCCGTGCTGGCCTGCCGCCCCGAGGCGCGCGCGCCGGTGCGCGCCAGGAGGCAAAGGCCGCCACGAGAGCGCGGAGGCTTACGTCTTGCCGTCGCTCGGACGTCCATTTTCCGTGCATGCTTCGGTGTCGTGCGTGCTTTTGTTTGCTCGGTGGTGCAGGATGGTCCTCGATGCTCTCGCCGGGAAAGAATGCACACGTCCGAGCGATGCCAAGATGTTGTCCCCATCGTACTTAAGGACCTCGTCCCAGAAAGAATTCTGGGCACCCAGAAGAGTGTCGAAGCAGTGTCGAGCGAATGTCGCCTCCCAGGGCCCGGCACGTGAAAAACCTCCGGTTTCGGTACTCTCTTGGTGCTCGAAATTCTTCCTGGTGGTCGAGGCTAAAATAGGTTGGGATATCATAAGCGGAGGCATGTGCGCCGCACCGGGGCCCAGGAGGGGCAAAGCGTCTGGGGCAGCGTATGACATCCGCCGCCCCCCCCCCCCTTGTTGAAGGGGAACTGGGACACGCGAATAAATAGACACAAATAACCCGATTCCCCATATTTTCTTATACTTTCTGGGTTTCTGTCTTCCCCCCCACTTCCCGTATTTTCCCATATTTCCTCAGGAATCGACGACTAATTGTGTCGTTGGGTTTTTTTCCCCCTCCTGACTTGTGGTGTGGGGCCACTGGGCTGCGCGGCTTTTCGGCCCGCCGCTCCCTGCGCTGGTCCCTGTCTCCAGTTGCCAGTGGTGAGCGCTTTTCTTTACGCGGCGTCTCGACACTATTGGGCGGCAAAGGGGTGGCGGGGGACTGGCTCTTGGGGCCTCTGCTCAGTGCGACTGTCTGCAAGAGTGCGGCCTCTAGAGGAGGCTCCATCCGCTCCAAGCAGGCGCCAAAAGGCAGCCTGGATCTTCTCCATGGGGGGGGGACGAGGGAGGATTTGGGGGCTCGCGCCGATGGGCAAAACAATGAATCAAAACACAATCACATGGTATGATCATACTTTCTACTTCCAGTTGTAAGTGATTGACGTCCTCGCGAGGGGGGGGACCCAAATCGTCAAATTCACCACACCGTCTGGGCGGCCCCAGAATCAGCTGGGGGCCTTTGGGCACGGAAGGATACCTCAGCCTCGCGCCCCCGAAACCATATCATCCATCGTAAACGACACAACAGTCGCGTCCCCGAGGCCACGCTCCCATGAAAATTGCGCACGGCTCGCGTGTCCGACACCACGAGCTCTGGTAAACTGCACCAGAGCTGCGCACTCGATGCCATCATTCTTTCTATCCGTGATGTGAGGTTCGCGTCTTCGAGGCAGTGAGCCCGGGCAACTTATACAGCATCTGCGTCGCCGAGGCGACGGCCCCGCATGAACTATGTAAGACTCGCGTCCCCAAGGCCAGGATCCCTCGTCAAGTATGCAATGTTCGCGTGCCCGAGGCCACGATCCCCCAACAAGTAATCAAGATTCGTGCCCTCGAGGCCACGATCCTTAGTAGATGTACTATGTTCGCGCCCTCGAGAAACGATCCTCTTGTAAATTACGCTGCGTTCGCGTCCCCGAGGCTACGATCCCGAATCAATTACGAGATGTTCGCGTCCCGATGCCAGGATCGTCAGCAAGTTCACAGTGCGAACCCTCAGAAATCGGCAAATGGTTATGAACTTTGCTATGCAAGCCGTAACGTAGGATATTGGCCCTGGCGTGAGGCCCCGACATTGCTTCATGACGGCGCCCTTGCATCCCCTCGTAGCTCGGGCTCTGGCCTGCCCCACTCTAAGAGATGAGGGGGCTGGCGGCAATGGGCGCAGCCCTTACGGATAATGTACACACACACATATATAGATATATATATAGATGTGTGTGTACGGATAATGTATATACGTGAATATATGTATGTATGCATGTATGTATGTATGTATGTATGTATGTATGTGTGTATATATATATATATATATATGCACCCAGAGGGGGGGTCGTCCCTGCGACGTCCCGGCGACAACGACGTGTTCATTTCGCCCACGACACCCTGCAAGGCAGGCCAGTGAAAATTGCGAAGGACGGGACGCAGAAACAAGAAGGCAAGGGTACCCTAAGGGCATTCGTGCGTCCTTACCATGAATTTTGACTGTATCGCGCTGCCCTCGTCGCCTTGTTCTCCTCGTTCTCGTCTTCTCCCCGAGGGAGGGGCCGTCCCCGCGACGTCCCAGCGACAACGACGCGCTTCTTGCCATCGCTTGGACGTCCATCCCCCGTTCGTTTTTCGGTTTCGTGCGTGATTTCTTGGCTACATGATTGATGGTCCTCGCCGAGAAAGAAGGCACACGTCCGGGCGATGACAAAGTTTTGGTCGGGCATGTCCCCCTACAGGCGGATGTTGAACGAATAATGCAAAACAATCACAAGATAATCAAACATGTGAAAAAATACTCAAAAATCGTCCCCGGGCTATGTTTCGACAATTTTTGAATATTCGTCCTGTAGACATGCCCGAATAGAGACCGTTTTTTTGAATCGCCGATAACCCGGGTTATCCAAGGGGGGAGGAGGAGGCCGGCCGATAACCTAACCTTCGCGCTGTAGGCAGCTCTGCCTATGCCCGCGCCCCCCCACACCGGACCTGCACCACCGACAAGGTTGGGTTATCCTGGGGGGGGGAGGGGGGGCACGCCCGATCACCCGGGCTATCGCCGGACCCTGAACAAAAAAAGGTGTCGTAAAAGCCAAGGTTCGCTTCGCCCACGACGTCCTGCATGCCGACGGCAAACAGGGCCACCACGCGCCCGGCGCCGTGCAGCGGTGGCCCGCGGGCGGAGCCGGGCCACGAGAAGCAGAGCCGGCCTGTGGCAGGGAGGCTCGGGGATCGAGCTTCGCGCAAGGCGAAGCCAGGATCGAGGCTCGAGGCTCGAGGATCGAGCTTCGCGGAATTCAGGTGAGGATAAATCGAGAAGCTCGGAGATCCGGCGGTTCTGGAGGGCGTCTCGGGGGCCGCGCTCGGGAACGCTCTGGAAGCGCTCCAGGACGCTCTGGAACGGAGTTGTGTCCTCGTCCTAGCCCCGTCCGATCGCGAGCCTTCGAGGACAGAGAGGACCTGGGAGGATCGAGGAGGGTCGAGCAGTGGGGAGCATCGAGGACGAAGGAGGATGGAGCAGGATCGCGCCGGCCTCCAAGGGGGGCGCTCGGCCGCTGGAACCGCCGCTCCAGCTCCCCGGCCATCGCCTCCTTCAGGCCCCTGTCGAGGGGCAGCGTTCGTCGGGAGCGGCCAAGAGGGGGGGTGCAAATCATGACCGGCGGCATGTGCGCGGCCCAGCGGGGGGGCCAGGAACGTAACGAAATAAGAAGAGGCGCCATGAAATCTGGGGAAATATCATGTGGCCCTCGCCATGATATCCACCCCCCCTGTCATCACCCCCATCTTTTCCGCCCCCGAGTTCGGGGGGGACCCCGCTCGAGGGGGGAGGACATCGACCCGGGATCGGCGCGGCATCGCCGACAGGTCGGGGCCCGGCTCCCGACAAGAGGGCCCGCCCGCTCGCGGGCCGGGGCGGGCTGTCGGGCCCCCATCCGCGAGGAGTCCGCAAGATTGGGGGTCGATGCGCACACCCCTGAGCCTATCCCCCCCCCCTCCATCGCTCCCTCCCTCCCTCCCTCCCTCCCTCCCTCCCCTCCCCCTCCTCCTCCTCCTCCTCCTCCTCCTCCTCCTCCTCCTCCTCCTCCTGCGCGGGCGCGCCGAGCAGCCTCGAACACCTGCTGGCCCAGTGCCCCGCTGGCCGAGGCCTCCGGGACGCGCTCTGCGAGCGGCGGCCCCTCGGCTGTGACGCCGTGGCCGCGTGGGTGCTGCGCGACGCGGACGCCCTCGACGCGCTCGCCGAGAAGGTCCGCTACCTCGGGTTCCTCACCGCCACCCTCGTGCACGCGTGCGGGTGCGCGGGGCGCGCGGCGTGACCACGGCAAGGCGGGGTCGCACAAAAACATGCGATTGCATAAGCCTACGGGTCCTCCCCGGTCTGCGGGCCCCTCCCCTGGCCTGCGGGCCCCTCCCTGGCCTGCGGGCCCCTCCCCGGCCTGCGGGCCCCTCCCTGGCCTGCGGGCCCCTCCCCGGCCTGCGGGCCCCTCCCCGGCCTGCGGGCCCCTCCCTCCCTCCCCCTCGTCGTCCTTCTCCGCCTCTTCGTCCTCCTCCTCCGCCCGGCCCTCCCTCTTCAACTTCTCCGTCTTCTTCCTCTCCGTACTCCAGCCTGCTGCTCTCCAGGGCCAGGTCCTGCGGGACAACGCCCCCGCCCCGGAGCCGCGGGGATATAGGCCCTGCGGGGTGCTTCCACCCGGCCCGGGATGGACGCTACCCTGCGGGGTATAACCACCTACCGAATGCTCAACCGAATGCTCCTCCTCCTTCCCCTCCTCCTCCCCCCTCCTCCTCCTCCTCCTCCTCCTCCTCCTCCTCCTCCTCCTCCTCCTCCTCCTCCTCCTCCTCCTCCTCCTCCTCCTCCTCCTCCTCCCCCCTCCCTGTTCGTCCTCCTCCTCCTCCTCGCGTCGCCGCCCCTGGCCTGTTCGTGATCGCGAGGAAGAGCCTCTCGCCCGAGCGGGACCACTCGCGGATCGTCGCCATGTCCTCGCCCAGCCCCGCGGGCTCCGGGGCGGACGCGCCCCTCGCGGCGTCCCGGGGCGCCTCCACCGCCTGGGGTGGCCGCGGGCACAGGGCACGCACTCCGCCGCGCCCGCGCCTCCGTCGCTCCAGACCGAAGGGGCCCTGGGGCACACACACACACACACACATATATATATATATATATATATATATTACACACAAATAACCAGATTCCCCATAGTTTCCAATCTTTTCTGGGGTTTGGTCTTCCCGCCCAAATCTCCACATTTCCGTCTATTTTCTGGGGAATCGACGGTTCATTGTGTCTGTGTGTTCTCTCCCCTCCCGACACACCCCTCGAGTCGCGTGGCCGCCGAGCGGCTGCGCCCCGCCGCCGTCGCCCACATGGCATCACGGCCATCACCACGCTGCCCGCAGGCATCGCGCGACAACGACCCGCGCTGCGCCCCGTCGCCATCGCCCGCTGACGTCGCAGTCATTATCACCCACTGACATTCTCGCGGCCGTAACCCGAACTGCCTCCCGTCGCCATCGCCCGTCGACGCCCGTCATCACCACGAACAGCCATCACAGCCCACGACCCGAGGAACGAGAATCGGCTACACGCAAGAGTGACCCTGGGTAAGAGTGACCTTTGGTGCGCAGCTTTTTGGGGGCCGCGGGGGGGCCAAACCTGGGCGCGCAACCAGCTGTTACAACTGCTTCGTTTTCAGCCATCTGGGGACTCATCTGTGCCCGCACCAAAGGTCACTCTGGCGAAAGGTCACTCTTTACGTCTAGTCGAGAGAAGGAGAGGGATCGATCGATCGAGTTCCCGGGCCGGCTCGGTGCTGCTCCCCCTCGTCTGGAGCTCAACTGCGGCTGAACATCTGCCATGGCCTCGCGGTGTCCACTTTGCAGAAAGGGACCGCCCAATACGACTCCAAGACGGCCCAAGAAGGCCCCGAGAACGCCCCAAAAGAGGCCCCAGGGAGGGAACACGAAACACCGCTTCGAGCCCTCGGCCACAAGCAGCCACCAGGAGGTTCCCCGAGAGGTCCCCGAGAGGCCCCCAACAGGCGGCCAGGCGGGGCGGCTGGCGCCGTGTGACGCCCTGGCCCTGCCCGCACCGACCTCCCCACGCAGGGGTCCGCGGGCAATGCAGTACCCACTCTTACGGACGCCATCCCGTCTGCCTCTCCCCGCCCCTGTCCAGGCCAACTCGGCCCCCTTCCCTCTCGGTTCGGTTCGGGGGGGAGGTTGGTGCATCAGAAAATAGTTGAAGGAGGAGGGGGAGGAGGATCGGGGAGACGTAAGACTCGAGTTTGGAGACCTCGAAATTGCCTGACGGGGACGTCAGGAGAATGAAGAGACCCAGCCTGAAATTTGACACGAGCTCACGCTGCAAACATCCCACGAAAACGGGATCGTCAACATTTAGAGGCGGGCCCGTGAAAAAGCGTCGGCAGACCCGAACTCCGACGACCTCGAGTCTTACGGTTCCCTGAGGTGGGGACGAGGAGGAGGATGAGGAGGAGACTGAGTGCACCCTGCGAGTAAGAGTAATCACTGTGGTTGGTGCGTAGCGTAGCAGGAGAAGGAGGAGGAGGAGGTGGAACTAGAAGGAGAAGGAGGAAGAAGAAGGAGGAAGAAGGAGTAGGAGTAGGAGTAGGAGTAGGAGTAGAAGTAGGAGTAGGAGTAGGAGTAGGAGTAGGAGTCGGAGGAGGAGGAGCGAGGGGAGAGTAACCCTGAGAGGAGGAGGAGGAGGAAGAGGAGGAAAAGGATGATGATGATGATGATGATGATGATGATGATGATGATGATGATGATGATGATGATGATGATGATGATGATGAGGAGGAGGAGGAGGAGGAGAGGAGGAGGAAAGGAGGAGGAGGAGGAGGACAAGGAGGACAAGGAGGTAGGAAGGACGAGGAGGGGAGGAAGAGGATGATGAGGAGGGGGAGGGGGAGGAGGAGGGAGGAAGAGGAGGAGGAGGAAGAGGGAGGAGGACGAGGAGGAGGGGGAGGATGCCCGCCACATCGGCCACTCGCGGGGCGGCTGCGCGCCGCAGCGACAGGGCCGACCGCCGTCTGCCGCCGGCCGCGGCGCCGTGCCGCCGGCGCCGCGCACGCGGCGCCGCGAGGCCGGCCGCCAGGGCGCCGAAGCCGCAGGCGCGCAGGGCGGCGCCGCGGCTGGGCGATGACGCGCGCGGCGCCCTCGCGCCGCGGCGGCACCGCTCGGGGGCCGCGGCGGCGGCGGCGGCCGGCCAGGGCCAGGGCTCTCGCGCTGCCGCGCGGGCGGCCGCCCCGAGAGCTCGCGCCGGCCTGGCCGGCGGCAGCGGCGGGGCGCCGCCCAGCGCAGCGGCCATCGCGCGCGCCCGCGGGTCGCCGCCGCGGGGCCGCGGCGCGCCCGGGCCGCGGCCGCCGGGGCCGCGGCCGCCGCCGCTGGCGGGCGCCCGGCGCACCGCCCCTGGGCGCCGTCGCCGTCGCCGTCGTCGAGGCTCGAAGCAGTCGATGCGTCTGGGCCCTTGTGGGCCCTTCCGGGAAATGGTGACGCCTTCGGGGCGGCGGCGCTCCCCGATGTGTCGGCGGCTCGGGCCGGCCTCGAAATCGAGGAAGACCGAGGAGGGATCTGGGAGGACCGAGGAAATCGAGGAAACGAGGGCAATCGAGGAGGGTTGGGCCGCGGCGCGCCCTGACGTGCTTGGAATCGAAGATCCACGTTTCGGAAACTGGAGGCTTCCGCGGCGGCCTCAAAGGATCTCCAGGGACCCTCTGAGTCATCCGAAATTTTCTGGGCAGCCGACGGGGTCGCCGTCGCCGCCGCCCACGCGCCCGACGCAGCCGTCGCCGCCGCCGCACACGCCGCCGCCGCCTCCGCCGTCGCCGTCGCCGTCGCCGTCGCCGTCGCCGTCGCCGTCGCCGTCGCCGTCGCCGTCGCCGTCGTCGTCGTCGTCGTCGGCGGCGGCGTCGTCGTCGTCGTGGTCGTCGTCGTGGTCGTCGTCGCGGTCGTCGTCGTGTCGTCGTCGTCGTCCACGTCGTCGTCGACGCCGTCGCTGTCGCCGCGGCCGTCGCCGTCGCCGTCGCCGCCGCCGTCGACGTCGCCGTCGCCGTCGTCGTCGTGTTCGAAATGGTAACCGTCGCCGTCGCCGTCGCCGTTGTTGTGGCCGCCGTCGTCGACGCCGTCGCCGTCGCCGTCGCCGTGACCGTCGCCGTCGCCGTCGTCGTCGTCGTCGTGGTCGTGGTCGTCGTCGTCGATGTCATCCTCGTGGTCGTCGCCGTCACGTCGTCGTCCCTCGTCGTGCTCGTCATCGTGGTCGTCGTCGTCATCGTCGTCGTGGTCGTCGTCGTCGTGGTCGTCGTCGTTAATGTCGTCGTCGTCGTCGTCGTCGTCGTCCTCGTCGTCGTCGTCGTCGTCGTCGGCGTTCTTTTTTTGAAATCGGCGTCGCGGAAGGTGTATGCGTCGTCGAGGTGATCGCCGCCGCCGTCGCCAACGTTGTCGTAGTCGCCGTCGGCGTTCGGCGTTCGGCGTTCGGGAAGGGGGACGAGGACGCTCACTGGCCTTGGGGCTAAGGGCAGCCTCCAACTGAGCCTGCCAGTGCAAGCGGCGCGGAGCCCAGAGAGGCAAAAACGCACCGTCAAAGCGAATCGTTTATCACCTTCGGCTTCGGTCCAAGGCATCCGTCACGTCAGCAGTGTGTCGGCCCGCGGCGTGTCAAACGCTGGCCGGCACGCTGGAGCACTCGCGCGCCAAGCCTCGGCGGGGCTGGGCGCTCGCAGTGCTGAGATCCGCGCGCGTATAAGCCTGGTAAAAGCCCCAGGCACGGCGTGACCCGCCCGAATGCCCGCCGTTTGCCCCTGGACCTGCCTGCCTCCCCACAAGGCCCCTGGGAGGGGAGGGAGGAGCGCAGAACCGCCTCGCCCCCCGTCCTGCGCGCGGGAACTGCGGACGGAACGGGGGCACGCGAGGCGGGGATGCTGAAAAAACGTCAGACAAGCCGAGGAGAAGTGTGACGCTATGATGCCACGCTTCGCCGTGCAAATCCATGCTGCGCGGCGCGATGCTAACCTGCATGAAATATAATCATACAAGACTGCGATATACGACGCGGCCGGAGAGACGCCATGATATGCCACGCTGCGGGATGCGATCCCGTGCGACCCGACGACACCTCTACAGGCCTGGGAACGCCAGGGATGACAATTACGCTACCGAGGAATCCCACATACTCATAATATGTTCGGAGTGGTGATCGCTGAAGTGAGACACGCGAGTCTGATGCTGGTGGCCGTTGCCCCGCCAATACCGTCGGTGACGCCGATAAGGAAGAATGGTCCGGTAAGCACATCACTTAGCACTGTCTCGTTGCATGTTCAGCGCCCAGTTTACGCGGCAACTCTTCGTCTTTGGCGAACAACGTCTCTGGCCACAATTTCATCAGCTGTCGGTGGTAAGCATGAAATGCGCATTGTACCAATACGTACCCATGCCTGACGACATATCCGCGCAGACCATCCAGGCTCACCTCGGCGCCCATATCTAGCATTGACTTCTTGAGCTGTTCGCACTGCGGTGACCGGCGGACATGGTGCATTTGGGCGCCATGACGGGGACCGTACCTTTGACGGGGAGCCAACGGCGGTCGCCCGCGTTCACATATCCAGCGGTCTTAGCCGGCATGAGCCAGGGCGGCTACAGTTCTTGATACTGATGATGTTGATGATGGTCATGCTGGTGATGATGCCACGACTGCTTTGCCCTGGACGGCTGGGGCGCATAGCGGCCGCGCTGGACGACCACCCCCTGCGCAACTACGACCGTGACGAATAGCGGCCGCGTTCAGAGACAACCCCTTCTGCGCACCCCCATACGGTGTCGAGCATATGCCAAGCCTGATATACCTTGGACGACCGTGACGGATAGTAGCCGCGCTCAGAGACCCACGCCTGCGCAACCCTGCATGGTGTCGAGAGTATGCCACGTCTGCTATGCTCTGGACGACCGTGACGGATGGCGGTCGCGTTCAGAGACCACCCCCTGCGCATCCCCAATGGTGTCGAGATTGTGCCACGCTTGGTGTGCCCTGGACGACCGTGACGGATAGCGGCCACGTTCAAAGACCACCCCCTGCGCACCCCATGTGGTGTCGGGAATCTGCCGCGCCTGCTATGTCCTGGGCGACCGTGTGTCGAGAACATGCCGCGCCTGCTATGCCTTTCGACGACCGTGACGGACAGCGGTCGTGCTCAGAGACCCACCCCTGCGCACCCCCAATGGCATCGAGAGTATGGCACGCCTGCTATGCCCTGGACGACCGTAACGGGTAGCGGCCGCGCTCATATACCACCCCTTTTGCGCACCCCCCACGCCTGCTATGCCTTCGGCGAACGTGACGTGCAGCGACCACCCCCTGCGCACCCCCTATGGCATCGAGAATATGCCACGCCTGGTATGCCCTGGACGACCGTGACGGGTAGCGGCCGCGCTCAGAAACCACCTCTTCTGCGCACACCTGATGGTGTCGAACACATGCCACGCCTGCTATGTCCTGGACGACCGTGGCGGGTAGCGGCCGCACTCAGAGACCACCTCTTCTGCGCACCCCTTATGATGTCGAACACATGCCACGCCTGCTATGCCCTGGACGACCGTGACGGATGGCGGCCTCGCTCAGAGACCACCCCCCGCGCACACCTTCTGGTGTCGAGCATATGCCACGCCTGCTATGCCCTGGACGACCGTAACGGATAGCGGCCGAACTCAGAGATCAACCCTTGCGCACCCCCTATGGTGTCGAGAAGATGGCACGCCTGCTATGCCCTGGACGACTGTGACGGATAGCGGCCGCGCTCAGAAACCAACCACTGCACACCCCTATGGTGCCGAGAATCTGCCACGCCTGCCACGTCATGCGCCTGCACGCGTGTCTTGTGTGTTGTGTGTATGGTGCATGTGTATGATGTGTGTGCGGCTGTATGTTCACGTGCGTCTCATGTGGGTGCTCAGTATGTGGCGCATACGTCGTGGGTGTGTGGTGCAGTGAACACGCCAGGCGTGCACTGGCGTTGTTAGTGTGTGTGTGTGTGTGTGTGTGTCTGTGTCTGTGTCTGTGTATGTGTGTGTGGTGTGTGTGTGTGTGTGCGTGTGTGCGAGTGTGCGTGCGTGCGAGTTTGTGCGTATGTCGACGCGTGTCTCATATACGTGCCGTGTGTGTATTGCGCCTGGGTGACGATAGAGAGGAACAGGAGGAGGGGAGGAGGGAAGTGAGGTGTGTGAGCTTCGCGGGTAAGACGCGGGAAAGAAGAAAACCATAACCCCACTGAAAGTGTGGGGAATTATTTCTCCGGCGGCCTTATTGACGGACAGGGGTCCCATCCACACTTGAGAAAAACCAACTGTTTCTCCGCGGCGCCCGCCGCGCACCAGCGACGACGACGACGACGACTACGACGACGATTACGACCTGTCGTGCAACGCAGCCCAGGGATCATTACTCGCTGGAAAAACGGACCCCCACAACATGATCTAGCGCGGCGAACATTAGTGGGAAAATGATCTCCGCCGCGACGACGACGATTAGGACTACAATCGCGACTACAATTACGATTACAATTATGATTATAACCACGACCGCAATCACGATTACAACCACAAACACTGATTCCGGTTGCCATCCGCATGGAAAGATGCTCACAAATCCGCTCGCGTGCAGGGTAGCTCACAATGGATTATTCCCATAGAGAAGATACTCCGATATTATCCAGCCCGCACGACAACAAAGGGAAACTAATCTCCGCCGCGACGACGACGACGAGGGCGGGGGGAGGAGGACGAGACGGAAGAGGGGGAGGAGGGGGAGGAGCTGGAGGAGCAGCAGAACGAGGGGCGACCTTGTGCCCCGCCGAGAGAGTCAGGGGGGGGACCCACAACGAAAAGCTTGTAGAGGCTTGACGTGCCTTGGTATGCTGGCCACCGTTGCTATACGCGCTGGCATGCTTCACTCGTTGTATCGCATGCCACTGTACCGCATGTCATTGCACATGTCACATGCGTGCCTCCGTGATGGATACCATTACACGTCGGTCGGAAGAAGTAGGTAGAAACATGAAGTAGGAAGGCGGATGTAGTGGATAGGGTCCAGGCCCTCCCAGAGAATAACAAAACACAGCAAAAGCGTGCCGATTCTTGAAGTAGGAAGGCGCCTGAAGTGGATTGGGATATGGGAATCCAAAAGTACCTACTTTCAACGAGCGGCGTGTACACCCAATCGAACTCGCGCCCGCTTCATTGGACGGTCCTGGGCCAAAGACTGGCGACACGGGCCCCCGGAGGCGCCTTCGAATATCTGGGCAGACCGCGACCGCCGCGGCGCGCGCAGGCACGCGGGGCGAGGGGGCGGCCCCGCGGGAGGCTCCGCGCGCCAGCCAGGGGCGGGGGGCCCCCTCGCCGACGCGGGAGCGTGTCCCTCC